GTGTATAGAAAGTGAGTCCACGGTAAGAATGGAAAATAAGGAGATGGTATATGAAATGAAGAGATATTTGCATCAGTGTTCACTACAGGATTCAAGTAACTTCTCAGAAATAGCTGTAAACCAGGAAATGGAAGGAATGGTGGAACAAGAGAAATTTACAATTACCAGGGAAGTGATAGTGAGCAAATGATTGGAGGTGTAGACTGGCAAGTTCCTGCATCCTGGTCAACGCTATTCTAGGACCTTAAAAGAAATGACTGCAGAGATAAGCTGGTCCATTGCATTTAATCTCTCAAACCTCTCCAGAGATTTGGGGAACAGTTGTTTGATTGGAAATTAGGAAATTGAAAATTGCTTTATTCAGAAAGGGGAAAGAAACAGAAAGTAGAAACCACAGGCCAGATAGTTTGGGAAGATGTTAGAAGCCGTTATTAAGAGGGTACAGTAGGGCATTTGGACAAATTCAACATAATCAAGCAGAGTCACATTTAACCATTTGCTTAGAGTTCTTTGAGAAAATAAGATGTGCTATGGAAAAAGGGGTAATGGTGAATTTACAGTATTTAGATTTTCATAAAGCATCTGATAAGATGCCACATCAAAGGTTATTGTGGAAAGTAAACAAACATTGTGTCATAGCACGTTGGCACAAATGAAAGATTAGCTTGTAAACAGGAAACAGAGAAATGACCATTTATGCCTATTCCCTTTGCAACATACAAAGAGTAATGTGCCAAATGGATCAGTGTTAGGGCATCAACTGTTTACAATTCATATAATTGACTTGGTTAAAGGTATGGTATTTAAATATGCTATTGTGACAAATGTAGGTCGAAGAGGATGTAAGCATGTTACAAAGGTATCTATTTCACTTGAATCGGTAAAGCTTTGGCAAATGGCGCATAATGTTGGAAAATGTGAAACACTTCATTCAGTGTGAATAAAAAATGTAGCATATCATCCAAAGATGAGATATCTTAGAGCCCTCAGATAACAGGAGATCTGGGTGTCCTCATGCATGACAAGTTACTATGCAGGTACAGCAAGTAATTAGAAAGCTAATGTTATTGTTAACAGAGTCAGAATCAGGGTCATACAACATGAAAATAGATCTTTGGGTCCAATTCGCCCATGCCGACCAAAGTTTCCTGAACTAGTCCCATTTGCCTGCGTTTGGACAATATCCCTCTAAACCCTTCCTATTTATTGACCTGTCCAAATGTCTTTTTAATGATGAAACTGTATGCACATCTACCACTTCCTCTGGCAGTTTATTCCATATATGAACCATCTTCTGTGTGGAATAGTTGCCCCTCAGGGCCATCTTAAATCTTTCCCCTTTCACCTATGCCCTCTACTTTTGAACTCCGCTACCCTTGGGAAAAGACCTTTGCTATTCACCTTATCTATGCCCCTCACAATTTTATAACCCGCTCTAAGGTTACTTCTCTGCCTTCTGTTTTGCGGGGAAAAGAGTCCTAGCCTATCCAGCCAATCCTTATAACTCAAACCCTCCAGTCTCAGTGACATCCTTGTAAATCTTTTCTACACCCTTTCAATTTAGTAATATTCTTCCTTTAACAGGGTGACCAGAACTGTATGCAGTACTGCAAAAGTGGCCCAGTGTCCTGTACAGCTGCAACATAACGTCCCAACTCCTTGACTCAATGCTCTGACCAACGAAGGCAAGTATGCCAAATGTCTTCATCACTATCCTGTTTCCCTGACGCCACTTTCAAGGAACTATGTACCTGAATCCCTAGGTTTCCCCAGAGCCTTATCATTAACTGTGTAAGTTCTGCCCTGGTTTGTCTTACCAAAATGCAACACCTCGCATTTGTGTCAATACAACTCGATCTGCCACTCCTCTGGTCCAGCTGATCATGATCCCGTTGTACTCTTAGATAACCTTCTTCACTGTCCACCATGCCACCAATTTTGATGTCATTCACTAATTTAGTAACCATGCTTCCTGCATCCTCATCCAAATCGCTGATATAAGTGAGAAGCAAAAGTGAACACAGCACCGATCCTTGCGGAACACTGCTTGTCACAGGCCTCCAGTCTGAAAAGCTACCCTCCATCATCACCCTCTGCCTCCTACCATCAAGCCAATTTCGTATCCAACTGGCCACTCTCCCTGGATCCCATGTGATCTAACCTTACTAACCAGTCTACAATGTGGAACTCTGTCGAAGGACTTGCTAAAAGTTCACGTAGATTACGTTTAACGCTCTGCCTTCATCTATCTTCATGGTGACCTCTTAAAAAAATCAAATTTGAGAGATGCACTTTCACATGCACAAAAGCCAGGCTAACTATCCCTAATCAGTCTTGCCTTTCCAAATGCATGTAGGTCTTGTTTCTTAGAATCCCCTCCAATAACTTAACCGCCACTGACGTTAGGTTCACCAGTCTGCAGTGCCCTGGCTCCTCCTCGCAGCCTTTCTTAAATAACGGCACACTAATCACCCTCTACTCTTCCGGCAACTCATCTATGGCCGTTGATGATACAATTATCTCTGCTAGGGGCCCTGCAATTTCTTCCCTAGCTTCCCCCAAAGAACTGGGATACACTTGTTCAGATCCCAAGGATTTATCTACCCTTACGCATTTTAAGAGCTCCAGCACTTCCTCTTCTGTAATGTGGGCTGTTTTCAAGACATCACTATTTATTTCCCCAAATTCCCTAGCTTCCACATCTTTCTCCATGGTAAATACTGATGCGAAATATCTGTTTACTATCTTACCCATCTCCTGTGGTTCCACAGGCAAATGGCCTTGGTGACCTTTAAGAGGCCCTATTCTCTCTCTAGTTGTTCTTTTGCCTTTAATGTACTTGTAGAATCTCTCTGGATTCTCCTTAGCCGTATCTGCCAAAGCTATCTCATATCCCCTTATAGTCCTCCTAATTCCCCTCTTAAGTCTGCCCTTACTTCCCCTACTCTCAAGAGATTCACTTGATCCCAGCTCTCTATACCTGAGACATGCCTCCTTTTTTTCTTGACCAGAGCCTCAATTTGAGTTAGCTGATGTTCCATTGCTCCCCCTAATTTCCAAACCATCCTCAGCCTTTTAACTTTTCTCACTACTGCTTAGGGTACCTCATCCCATCTCCCCACCATGATATTGGTCACCCTACAGTTTAGGTGCAACCTGCCCTTCTTGTACATTTCACTTCTGCCCCAGAAGAGATCCCAATGATCCAAAAATCTGAATCTGTGTCCCCTGTACCACCTCCTCAACCACTCATTCATCTGCCCTATCCTCCTACTCCTATTCTCACTAGCACACAGCACTGGAAGTTATCCAGAAATTAATACTCTTGAGGTCCTGCTTTTTAACCTCCTGCCTAACTTCCTATATTCACTCTGTAGAACCTCATACCTTTCTCTACCTACATTGTCAGTACTGATGTGTACAACAGCCTTCAGCTGCTCACAGTCTCCTTTGAAAAAGTGCTGCAACCGCTCCGAGACGTCCTTGACCCTGACACCAGGGAGGCAACACATTATCTTAAGCCTCGCTCATGTCTGCAGAATCACCTGTCTGTGCCCGACTGGACAATCCCCTATCACAATTGCTCTGAGACTTGACAAAACCCTGCTTAGCGGAAGGTCCATCCTTTGTGCCCAAAACTTGGCTGCCACTACCACTTTCTTTGAGAGGCTATCCCCAGCAAACAGTAGCCAAAACAGAATATTTGTTTGGGAGGGGGATAGCCACAGGAGACTCCTGCAATACACTCTTACCTCTCCTGGTAGTCACCCATCTACCTGAGTGTAACTGCAGTGTGACCACCTCTCTGAAGCTACTATCCATCACACTCTGTGCTTCTTGTATGCTCCTCAATAACTCAGACTACCTCTCCAACCGACGCAAATGGTCTGATATGAGCCACATTCAAGCACACCTCCCGCAGACATAGTTTCAAGGTACAATAAACTGTTGCCTGACCTTCCACAATTGAATACAAAAGAGCGAGATTATGCTTTAATAATACAGGACAGTAGTGCTCCACATGCAGCTTATGTGCAATATTGGTCTCCAAATGCTTCGGAAGCAGTTCAAAGATTTAGTAGACTAATACCATGAACGGACAGGTTGTCTTATGAGGAAAACATGGACAGGCTTGGCTTGCATCCGTTGATGGAGTTTAGAAGAGTAAGAATCGACTTGATTGAAACATACAAGAGGTTTTGATGGAGTGCATGTGGAAAACATGTTCCTCTTGTGGGAGAATCTAGAACTGGGAGTCACTGTTTCAAAATAAGGGAATCACCCATTTAACTCAGACAAGGAGTTTTTTTAATCCTCATGAGGAACTCTCTTCTTCAAAAGGAAAGAGACTCTTTGAATATTTTTTAAGACAGGGAGGGGCAATGAGATCACGACTTTACCGAACCACAACGGGCCAAGTGGCATACTCCTGATCCTAATTCATGCATTTATTTGTAAATGACTAAGGTATGAAAGGGAGAGAATTGGTTCTCTCCATTAAGTGCAGAGTAAATAAGACACAAACACGACAAAGCAGTGGAGGTGGGACGGTTGGGGGCGTGGGGAGAAGGGACGAGAGAGAGGGCAGAATTTAAGAAAAATGGAGAACAGATATAATACGATCAGTTTCTGAAGTTATTGAATGGAATAATATTCAAAATTGAATCTTGAAACCACGAGGCAGTGTGGGGGGGGCGTTGGGGAAGTAGATGTTGGTGTTGGTTGGTCTTGAGGGGAGGAATGACCAAGATCCAGACCCAGTTTGGTTGTGATGCCTACCACAATTTAGTAGCGTGTTGACACTGGTCACATCAGTCAATGTCTTTAGGAAGAGAGATTGTAAAGGAAAAAGTGCAATAGAAATATAAAATCAATTTAAAAAGGTGAAAAGAGTAATCAAAGGGTCCTGATTCATAATTGTTTTTTATGATTTCATAGTGTAAATATACACCAGAACACCACTCTAAACAACCAAAAAAAGGAAAATGAGCAATACTTACTATCTTCCCCAGGACAAGGCATTCCTGGTCGTTCTGGTATACAGGGAAACACTGTGGAGATTAAAACCCAATCATTAAAGCGGCACATATCCTCTTGATTATATATAAATACTTGCAAATATCATCAATCTGGTATGATATAGTAATAAATAAGCCAATGCTTAAAATTAGAGGGCAATACAACTACTTCTGCAACTGTTCTAATGAGGAGTTACTGGACTCAAAATATTGTTTTCTGCCCTAGATGCTGCCAGACTTGCTGAGTTTCTCCGGCAATTTCCATTTTTGTTTCGGATCTCCGGCTTCCACAGTTTTTGCTTTATTTATCTGTAGCTTCTTTTTCAGGATAGCTCCTATATTAAATATTCAGGAGCTAAGCCTACTTCACTTCCAATTTACACAAATAGTTTAGCACATCCTACTCCTCAATTTTGGAGGAAGGTGTAATAGTTACTGAATTTTATGGCTGTGATGCAGCAAGTGTGAAATATTCACAGCATGTAACGTGATGAAGCTGTGCAACAGATGGTGGTAGGGAAAAGGGTGATAGGGAGAGAATGTGAAGCGTCCAACACTCGTGAGGCAATATCAAACAAATTTGCAGAAATTTCTTTTAACTACTTCTAATAAAAATTAAATAGTTTTCGTAAGGAATACATGATTTTTCAAGAAATAGCACATAAAATATGGACAATTTTTTCAAAAGGTGAAGGAGGACAAGTTTCCTTGTACTGAAACATTAATACATTAAACTAGAGGGGAAAATAATTTGTCTGTGCCCTTCAAATATATGAAACCCATGATTTAGTTTCTTTAATTTTCAATTTGTGCTGTCTTGGGTGTAAATGAGCATCAAATTAAGATTTTTTGATACTTTTTGCACATGTTTGCAATAGTAAACGTTTCCATATTGAATTGCCCACACAGAAACTTCCTACTCTGCAGGCTGAGAAAGGAAACCTGAAGAATTGATTCATGTCCCTCATATATGCAACACCTGTTGGCCCGTGGCAGCAGACATAATGGAGGGAATGGGGTATCTCCCACAGACAACTTACATTTGTACAGCACCTTTAAATGCAGAAAACAAACAAAAGCGTTCCATTAAGCAGTTCACAAATCTGGACTGATGTTGTAAAAGAAGGCAGGCATTAAAGTTATATAACTGGTCCCCAGTACGTATCTCATTTCTATGCCTGCAGTAAGCAAATCATGTTATACACGTGACTACATTTTCCAGATTCGGTGGAATTGTAGCAATTTACAGCATAGAAGGCAGAACAGCATCCCATCGTATCTGTGCAATTACTTTATTTGGATCTTCTCCCTACTCTAACTATCCCTAGAACTTGGTAACAGTCTTCTTGCAGTTCTGAGGTCATGAAAGGCACAAATTCAAGTTCATTTTCCTTCTCCTGATTAATTTTTTTTCCTTGAAGAGGTGATCATCTTTATCTCCGAGAAATCAACAGTTTATATATTAGGCTAGCACCAATAAACATAAGAACATAAGAACTAGGAGCAGGAGTAGGCCGTCTGGCCCTTCGAGCCTGCTCCGCCATTCAATAAGATCATGGCTGATATTTTCGTGGACTCAGATCGACTTACCCGTGTTCTCACCGTATCCCTTAATTCCTTTATTGTTCAAAAAAAAATCTACCTTTTCTTTAAAAACGTTTACTGAAGTAGCGTCAACTACTTCACTGGGCAAGGAATTCCATAGATTAACAACCCTCTGGGTGAAGAAATTCCTGCTCAATTCAGTCCTAAATCTGCTCCCTCTAATCTTGAGGCTATGATTTCTTGTCCTAGCTTCACCTGCCAGTGGAAACATCCTCTCTACTTCTATCTTATCTATTCCCTTCATAATTTTATATGTTTCTACAAGATTCCCCCCTCAATCTTCTGAATTCCAATGAATATAATCCCAATCTACTCAGTCTCTCCTCGTAAGCCAACCCCCTCAACTCCGGAATCAACCGGGTGAACCTCCTTTGCACCCCCTCCAGCGCCAATACATCCTTTCTCAAGTAAGGAGACCAAAACTGCACACAGTACTCCAGGTGTGGCCTCACCAGCACCTTGTACAGCTACAACATAACCTCTCTGCTTTTAATTTCAATCCCTTTAGCAATGAAGGACAAAATTCCATTTGCCTTTCTAATTACTTGTTGTACCTGCAGACCTACCTTCTGTGATTCATGCACAAGGACACCCAGGTCCCTCTGCATAGCAGCATGCTGCAACTTTTTACCATTCAAGTAACAATCCTTTTTACTATTACTCCTACCAAAATGTATGACTTCACATTTATTTACATTGTATTCCATCTGCCAGACCTTTGCCCACTCACTCAATGTATCTATGTTCCTCTGCAAAGTTTCACAGTCCTCTGCACACTTTGCTCTGCCACTCATCTTAGTGTCATCTGCAAACTTTGACACCCTGCACGTGGTCCTCAACTCCAAATCATCTATGTAAATTGTAAATAATTGTGGTCCCAACACCGATTCCTGAGGCACACCACTAGTCACTGACTGCCAGCTAGAATAGCACTCATTTATCCCCACTCTTTGCTTCCTGTTAGTCAACCAATCCTCTATCCATGCTAATACTTTACCCTTAATGCCATGCATCCTTATCTTATGCAGTAGCCTCTTGTGCGGCACCTTGTCGAAAGCCTTTTGGAAATCTAGGTACACCACATCCACTGGGTCCCCATTGTCCACCTCGCTTGTAATATCTTCATAACCATGCTTCAGGACTGGATAAGGACCATTCTAAAATGAGGGCTTGTAAGCTGCAAAATGACAATTCTAATGAAACCATATCGTTTCTTGCCCTAAAATAAAATCTAAACAAACCTAGAAAAATTTGTAAAATGATATTTTATATCAGATATAGGCAAAACATTATCTCCAAATCAAGCACACAATCTGTAAACTCCATCTGACTCTAGGCTACTCCTACACAACCCGCATGAGCCCGATTCAGACCTTTGAAAACCTAATGATATATCTGAACCCAAGAAAAACTTCTGCCATATGTTTACTCCATCAAGACTGCCAACTTCCACCTCTATTATATTGCCCAACTCCACCCATGCTTCAGTTTATCTAAGGTTAAAACTTGACTGCTTCAATGTTCTCTTCACCATTCTCCCATCTTTCAAACTACTATGAGCTTACGCAAAATTCTACTGCCGATACCATAAATTGCACGCAGTTCTATTCATTTACAATAGCTCCCAATCCAGCAATACCTCAATGTTGCTGTTTAAAATTCTCGTCCTTTTCTTCAATGCTCTCTCATTCCTTCCCATCTCTATCACCTCCAGTCCTATAATTCTCAATTATATTTGCACTCCTCTATCTCTGATCCATTATGCATCCCCAATTTAATTATGCTCTACCATTAGTGTATCTGCTTTCAGTTGCCAATACTGCAAGCTTCATAATTCCTTCCCGAAACCTCTGGTTCCCCTTTTATACGTTCTTTAAAGCAACATTTTTAACTCCTGTTGTAATATTCTCTTTTGTGACTCAAGTTCAAACTATTTATTACTGCCCCTGAAAAGCGCCTTGGAATATATCATTATATTGAAAGCACTATATAAAAGCAAATTGTTGCTGCAGTAACAGCCCAAAATAATCTACTCCGACATTTTTCTTTTCAGATGTGCAAGAGCAATATGACAATTTTTTTTGGTTCTATCCAACTCAACAACTCAGCAGACATTTGCACCATTGCCATCAATTCTGACTTGCTGGTGAACTTTAAAAAGTGCACAAAAGGTTAACAGGTTTCAGACAGTATAAAAGCCGCCACCCACATCTGGCACTACATGAAGGATTCTGTACATCGAAATCTCCTCCAGCAGGAGGAAGGGAACAGAAACAGTAAGCATCTGCAAACACAAATGCTCCAACAAAGACCAAACTTTGTAGTTCTTCATACTTGTCCAGTTCACGATAATGAGAGATAATCAAATATCAGTGCAACAGAGTATTTTTTTCCTCTAAAAACCAAAATTCCACCAAAGTAGTTTGCATCATGACTTATGTGCACGATTGTTTTGCCTACAGTGGCCTGAGCACCGATCTAACAATCAGCTCCACTGATACAGCCCAGTAATGCTGATTTGTTCTCATCTCCTGTGGGGTATCATCTTCAGACAAGGGCAAACAGAGGCTCCACATTAAAAAAATTCTAACAGAATTAAAATTACTATAAGCACAATTGGATTAGAGGCTAACCTGAAAATAAATAGGATTAGGAATCTCATCCAGCAATAACCAATCATTAGGAAGAGTTGCTTTATAAAATGCAAGTACACCATTACTTAAAAACTTTGGTCCGGACAATGAATACAATGGATACAATTGGTGTTCTTCTCTACACATTTTTTTGACTTATCTAGCAACAAAGTTCAATGTTGAAAGTTCCCCTGGAAGAGCTAAAGCCAACATTATCTTACCCCCAGTCAAAGGAAGAAGGTGATTCAGGAGAATGCATGTCAGGATTTCCTTCCTGTGTTCAGGAGGAAATACTTTGATACTTTTCCACAGTAAGATTTATCTTCATTCTCAGTATATTTACAACTGCTGCATTCCTGAAGTTTAGCAAAGAAATTATTTTTCCTTCCAATCTTTTGGTCAAGTGAATGGAGTCATGGGAGCAAACACCTATTTTGAAGATACCATCGGAGCTGTAAGATTTGTTTGTGACTTTTCACCCATAAATCATTAAGTTGTGAGCTACACTGTCAACTGGTGTTGTAAATTTTTGAAAATTCAGGAAACTTCACAAGGCAATTGCAGGACCGTGATGATAATATGACTGCAATTATCTTGACAGAGATATCTGAAACAATACCTTCAAAAGCTGGAAGAGCATCAAGTAAAGCTGCACAACCATCTCCATTCTATCTACAATCAACTCAATAGTGGGCTATTTACTACACCAAGGATCAACTACGCGCTGTTGTCAGTATTAAATAACTCCAAAATGGAAAACTCGAAACCTCAGTCACTTATGCCAAAACGCAATTG